GCTTTTGTCGAAGTTTAGCTTCTTCTTGATGTCATTTGTACACTTCATACTGCTCGAAGCTGTTCGAATGCTTGCTCGATTAGCGCGATAGTCCAGTTTTCCTCTGCCGCCTGACTTTTGCGACATGTTGACACGAGTTGGATCCTTCACAAAGATGTCTACGAATGTTTTCGGACCATTTAAATTCTTCGAAACCCGACGGTTCGACCATCCTGCCGTTTTGAATGCGATAATCTGAGATTGCTCAGAAGCACTAAGACAGCGACCACGTGGCATTTCAAAATCATTCAAAAAGTGAAAAATAAGGACTACTGTAGGTTCTCAAAGCTACAGGGTGTCATTTAAGTTCCCGCACAAAAGTTTGACGTCATGAAGAGCTTGGCTGTCGCACTTTTCGTGAAACAATACAATTTATTTTTGTTAAATAAGGTATATTTTACTTATTTTCCAAGTTTCACTTCATTCGGATGTGTTTCCGAGAAATGGCGAAGGCTAACATCCATCGCGCTTCCATTATCGAACTTCATAAGCAAAATGTGAGCCCGAGAGCCATCATTCAACGCCTCGGTGTGCCTCGTAGAACGCTTTACGACACCTTCAAACGTTTCAAGGAGCTAAATACGACCAGTGACCGTCTCAGACAAGGAAGACCCGTCTCGGTAACCACTCCTCAGAAGATCAACGCCGTCAAATCGAGGATCAGGCGAAACCCCTACAGGAGCATGAGAAAGATGGCGTCAGACGTGGGAATGAGCATCTTCGCTTTGGAACAAATCGTCAAAACGAAGCTTGTACTGACCCCATATCGTGTCCAAAAAGCGGCAATTCTATCGGCCGTCAACAAGCAGAGACGCTTCGAAAAAGCAAAACGACTTCTTGCGCGCACGCGGTCTGGAGAACACCTCGTCACTGTCTTCTCCGACGAGAAGCTATTCACTATGGAGACGGCATTCTACTCACAAAACCATTGAGTACTTGCCCAGACATCCCAGCAAGCTTCTGAGAAAGGAAGAACAATTAATCGAGCCTCACATCCTGCCAGTGTGATGGTTTTCGGTGCCATCTGCTCAACCGGGAGGTGCCCCCTGGATTTCGTGGATCAGGGGGTGAAAATGAACAAAGAAGTCTACGTTTGGGACATTTTAAAGAAGCATGTGATGCCCTGGACTCAAACGCATTTCGGTGGGCAGAAATGGGTCATTCAACAGGACAGAGCACCCGCCCACAATGCCAAAACTACTCAGGAGTGGTGCCAGACCCATTTTCCCGACTTTATCAAGTCATCCGAATGGACTGATTGCTCCCCAGACCTGAATCAGCTTGACTTTTCCGTGATGGGGTCTTGCAGGAGAAGGTCAACGCAAAACCCCATTCAAGTATAGAGGCTCTGAAGAAGACATTACTGGCGGAATGGGACAATCTTTCCATCGAATACCTGCGTACCACAGTCGCATCCTACCCGAAGCGTCTCTGTGAAGTCATAGCTCCGAAAGAAGGCCGAATCGAAAAGAGTTAATATAAAATTATTTGTTATACTATAGATAAAAAATATTTCAAGTCTCGTTTGATTTGGACTTTTAGTCTCAGAAATATACGTCTTCAAAGTTGTGCGGGAACTTAAATGACACCCTGTACACAACAATTTTTATGCACACTGGTCCCGCCAAAGTTTCAAAAAAATGCGAAAAAGTCCATTGTTGGGGGGTGGCTTTATAATTCTGCACCGCTCGAAAAAACGGTTTTGGACCACAACGCGGTTACTTTTGAAGGTACTAACATAAAAATAGGTACATATAAGTTATTTTTCATGCTGAACACGATTTTCACACTGGTTGGTCTCAAAGTATCGAAATCATTGCGCGGCGCTCAAATTCGGGGGTGGCCTTATAATTCTGCAACGCACTGTATAATTTTCACCTCATAAATAATTGAATAACCGCATGTCAAACAACAAATGAGAACAAGCGTCAATCAGATTCTTGACTGGAACGGAATGCTTCCTTGCAGAAGAATCAGTTTGTTGGCGAAACTAAAGAAAGGGATGCAATAAATAAAAATAGTTGTTATTCCGACGCTGAACATCTGAACATAACAGAAGTTTTGGGAGAATGGTTGTTAAAATGAATTACACCGAGCGACTAGCCGTTTTTCTCAATCTAAAACGGGGAGAAATGTACAATAAATTCTCCGAATAAAAATTTTATAACCGTTAAATGTTGAAAATGATGAATTCCATAGACATTAGAAATTCAAAACACGTTGAGAAATCATAACCAAAACATAGCAATGCATGTCTTGATTTATTCGCATCATATAAACATGTTTGATGTTTTTGTACATGACTCACTTTTAGATTGATCAGATGGCATGTTGCGAAATTTGATGCCGAAGATTATTTTACGAGATTTTTAGCGATAAAAGATATCACAAGATATTACACTGGAAACATATTTTTTCAAAGCGCTGAGATCGGCAATAAAAATAATTTTAACGGTCGAATGATGGAAACAATTTGAATTTGAATGAGATTACTCATCGCATATCAAATTGGAAAACGTCTGCTCGTTGGTCCAATTCTAAATTTAAATAGAATTGAAATTAAATTGAACCAGCCATGCATTACTATTTTGAGAATAAAAAAAATAATCATTTTTCGCGTTTCAAAAAATCAAATTGAATTATCGCATGATAGGCTGGGGAAAATGGAAAATCGTATTTAAAATCAAATTCTGGAACATTCCAAATTTCTATAGAAGCGATTCTCTAACCTCATTAGTTTGAAAAATTTCGAGTAAGAATAAACTTAGATTTAACTTTTGTTCTCGTAAAAGTCAGTTTTTGCGAGACGCCACCGAACGAATTTTAAGAATTTGAAAATTTTCCTTACAAATGCGTCGATACTCCAACGTTCGGTCGTTTCGCTTTGTTCCAAAATAATAATAATTGTAGAAAATCTGAAAATTAGACGAAAAAAGTGAAAAACGAGCGAAAGACAAAAAATCAGCGTTCGAAACCGTGTGAATACAAAAAACAAAGCTGACCGCGACGCGGTGCACCGTGCGTCGCGGTCGATGTGCTCCATCGCATCGCGTGTACGCGGCCTATAAATTTCTGCTGAGCTCCTACTCGATGGCGCGCTATCTCGTCGCTGGAACCCTCCGACACACACACATACACACACTCAGACTCACAATCTTTTCAATTTTTTTGCTCGGTTTTCGAAACTAGGACAGCCAGGCGCGTATGTGTCTGTGCGCTGTGAGAAAGTATCATCGACGAGAAGCAAAAAGAGAATTTTCAGTGTGTTGAAATCGCATCTCCAATTTTTCGGCTCATCCTTATTCGAAAATCACCAGCGAAATGTGATGTGAATAGAGGATGAAATGAAGCTATCGACTAGAAAAAACTTGGGTAATTATTTAGCTTTTAACGCTGTATAATTGAAATGTGAAAAGAAAATATTCGTTTGAAAGCGTCGATGATTCATAAATATAAATAGAATATTTCAACACATTTTTTTCATGGGAAAGTACTTTTTTCCGACGAATTTCGTATACAGATAAAAATAGAAATAATCTGATAAATTCTGAAGGAATTTCTAGTTACATTAAATGATACGAAGGATGACGTGCGAATAAAAAAAAGTTTTCTCCAGCATGGAATGACTTCGACTAAAAGTGCAAGCTATTAAGCTAAATTGTTTTACCGAAGGGTGTGTTGTTATTCAATTGTATAACAATAATTACAAAAATTGACATCACCTGCCGCCTGAAAAAAAAATCGTCGCTCGTCACAATTATTTATTGACAACATAATAATGTGACAAATAATTTCAAATCGTGAACTATTACTTTTTTGCGACTCTGGAGATTAGAAAGTAAAAGAAAGATGGCTCCATAGGGGAATTGAACGTCAAAAATGACACAACGAGATAATTTTTGGATGAAAAACGAACATTTCGAGCGCAAAATAAACGTTTTGAGGTTTGTGAAGCGAATATTAAATCCAGCCTACACTCATGCATCGTTTACTAATTCTTAAACACTTCGAAAAGTTTGTATAGAAGAGCAAAATGACAGAATTCGCTATCAACGCAGAATATAAAAATAATTGAATACTTATATACACATGGTGACGTTGCCAAAAAATCTACCATGAAAAACATTTCGCGTTTTTCGCGTTCGTTATTCAAAACAAAAACGAAGGAAAAACTTAAATGAGAAAACAGAAAATGTTTTTTTAGAAAAAAAATTTTGCACGTAATATTCAATTAATGATTAAATTAGCATTGTTATTTTTTTCGAATGAAAATTCAGTTTTTCTCCACAAAAAAAAAACACGAATGTCTGAACACATTTTCTTTTTTCTCAATTAGACTAGCAGTCTAAAGCAAAGAATGATATTGCTAATTAGTCCAGAAGGGAGACTAGACCGCTTAGAAAGCGTTCGATGGGAAATAAAAAAGCGTAAAAATCAAATACTTGTTGATTGGTTCGTTTGAGTTCGAAAAATAATCCAATGACTCGCGTAGAAAAAAATTTATCTTCAATGTGAACAATAAGAATTATAATAAATAAATTTAAAAAAAAAGAGCTTTGTCCATATAGGGTGATGGCAGTTGGGAGGATTTCGAAATTTTTGCAATTTCTCAATCTTTGTTTTTAGCTGAAATGCGAAAAGAAACGCGCAGAATGAGCGGCCTAATATAATCAAGGCCTCTTTAGTGACGTCAGTCAAAAGTTGAAATAAAACAGAATCATCAGGACATTTTGGGGGCCAATTTACATACGAATGTCAAGCAAAACAAAAGAAAGTCAGAAAGTGAGTAGATCGCCACAGGAAAATGGTCATAAATACATGTATTTGATGAAAGTACCTGTGGTTAAATGGCAATTCATGAGGGAGAATGTCGCATATTGAAAGTGGGGAGAGAATTCGCTTCAAACACGGGGAATAATGCAATGCAAACGACATTAATTTTGTGGGAAAAAAACGATGTTTCAATAGCTTGGAGGATTCGCCGCATTAGTTGCTCCCATATTGATTTGAGCGGTCGCACGAGCCAACGAGTATTGTAATGATTCAACTTCGATCTTCAAACGATGCAGTTCTTGGCGAAGGATGAAATTCTCCTGAAAATGGTGAATAATTGATATGTGAAATCGCTATTGAAAATTGAAAAAAAAAAACGAAAGAATTTCATGAGTGAGAAACCAGCCAATTCATAATAGATAGTGTGAATTTTAATTTAATAGGAGAATCAATTTTTGAGAATTGTTTTTCCTTTTCCTCTTCATATTTGGACTTCATTATCTATCCAATTTATTCAACCGACCTGTTGAGCAGCTTCTAATCGTCGACTCGTCAAATCCTCGTTCTTTTTTCTCGCCTCTCTCGACTTTCGTGCCGCCTCATTATTCCGACGCCGTCGCTCTCGATATGACTGAAACATGAATATTTGCGAAAACGGAAATTAAGAACGCCTAGTATGAGTGCTGCTTCATCTTGCAACCGAATACCTCATCCTTTTGATCGTCGGGGACCGGCTGCGGCTTCTTCTTCGTGGGACCCGGGGAATCGCGTGGTGGAACAGTGGCGAATTGTGTGAATTGGTGGGCAAATAATGGATGAAACATCATTTCTTGTTTGAACTGATCGAACTGAAATTTTAAGCATTTCAGTTCACATCTTCGTACAAATTTAATTGTACATTTAATTTTGTTTCGAAATTCAGTAAAAATAAATACATTGATATTTTTGCTAACATCACAGAAAAGTGAGAATCCTCGTTATTACTGCAACTCATAAATGTTAGAAAATTTTATGTGAAAGCTATCTGTAGAACGGTAATTCCTACAGTTTTTAAATATTGAAATTTGAATTACCGCTATGAAAATATAAGGCGAAGCGTTGACACCCAGGATTCTCTTTTTTTTGCTAATGCATATATTTAATTAATCGCACTTCTTAAGCAGCAAATTAATATTAATGGGATCTTTCATTCAAATCACTTGATCTTTGGAAAACATGATTTTATATGAAGTCAAAAATAGGAGAATTCAATATTTCGGATGCAACTAGAAGGAACAGACCTTCTCTTCTTTAGCGCATCCGGTTGGAGTGTAGGGCTGCTGCTGGTAATGATCGAAGTTCCACATTTGGCTCATTGCCCTAATATGCTGTTGAGTCGTATCATAAATCCCACTTGCGATTTGTTGTTGAATATCAGGAAGCATTAAGATTCCGCTGAAACTATAAATGTTGGCCAAATTTTTCAAAATGTTCTAATATTTGAATGGCGTGTGGTACAAAACGTTGAAATTTTTGAAGAACGTCGAAATCCTAGTAAATAAAAAAAATCGTGCCTAAAATCATTAAAAAAATTAAATAAAAAAACAAAATTTTTTGGACCTAAAAATGTTTTAGAAAAGCTTCTAGATTAGAAAACACTCTCTCATTAAAAAAATAGTTAGAAATGCTCAAGAGTGCAATAAGAAAATATAAATATGGTATTGAACTCAGCTGTCAGCAATAAATATGTGACAATTAAATATGAAACACATTTGGTGGCGACAAAAAATAAATGGGAAACGGAAGGAAATGGTGAAGATGTGTTCACTTCGATTACGGTAATATTTGATGATTGCCGCACTCGGACAACAAGCAACAAGTAGGCGGGCAGACGGACGGGCGAGCAGGGAACAGCATCGGCCACCGAGGCGGGCCGCCACAGATAGTGAAGGCGCAATCATGTCGGCATCCTTAGACCGTATTCAGTATGGGTGCTGGTGGCGCAATCGCTAGCGGGTTGCGTCAGTCACCGCGCTCCGTTTCTTATGTCATGAGCACAAAACAACTACATAACGAGCTGACAATGTCATAACAGATCATTATTCATTATCGCAATGGTCAAGAGGAAAATGAATACCAATGGTTCGAATTTTGAATAAGGAACCGAACAGGAAATAAAGAAAAGAAACAAATGAGATCTCATACTAGAAATCTCGATTAAGCTTATTCAATGCTTAATTAATATCAGGTGGCAGAAATTCGCTGTTCGAAAAAAAAAAAACAATGTAATAAACAATATATCTGAATAGTTTACTTCGCAGGAACGTTTACTTTTTAAAATGACTTTTTTTTTTGCAAAAGCTACGTTGGACTATAAACATTGCAATTATCAACCAAATCTTCTCATATTTCATTCCCTCGAAAACATTTGATATAAACGATTTTTCCCTTATTTCATCATAACAAATTGTCAAAAAATGTTTAATTATTATTTTCCGAAAATCTTGAAGAAAATGCAAAAAAAAATATTTATTGTTTAGGTAAAAATTATATTCCATATTATTTGCCACTGCTATTAACAACAATTGCGATATTTAACCAAAAAAACACCTTGGTTGTGGGTTCAAATTTTTACGATTTAGTGCATTCATTACGTCGCGATGAGTACACATTTCTAAGACTACCGTACTCATCTTGAATAATTTTTCATGGAGAATCAGAAATACGGTTTTATTTTTAAAATGATATTCCTGAAAACATTCAAATTTCGAATTAGTTAGGCTTGAATTTGTGAGATATTTAATGCTAAAATTAGGCATTCGATATCTAAAAATTGCTCGAAACATAAGTCAGATAATTGTCGTCGGACAGGTTGCCGAGCACCATCTGGTCGTTGAGATTCAAACTTGAACCGTTCGACTCGCTTGCGTGTACACAAATCGATCTTGCACCAAAAAATTCTCATTGAGGCCGTTTAGGGAGTTGCGCAACTCTTTTCAACGCGCCGCTCCATCTCGCGCACCAATGTGCACAAATACGTTCATTTTTTTTTTGAAAAATTTGCGAGTATTGATATCCAGATAGGAGGGGGCCAGAAATTTTCGATCGAAAAAATTCGGAATTCTCACTTCATTTTTTTATATCAAAAATGATTCATTCTTGTTGTATATCAGTAAGAACTTCTAGAAACCTTTATTATTAAACTGCATAAATACTGCGAGGATGGTTTGCTTATTTTCCGAATTTCCGGAAGAGCGTGAAATTTTTCAGAAATTTGCCAATTTTTTCTTTTCATTTTTGTAGCTCCAAAGCAGTTTCCGCACTTGTGGTGAAAAACACTTCATTCGGCTGAAATTGCTGTTTTTGTTCATCGATACAGTAATGAATGTCTTTAAAAATTTCCCGATTTCCCATGTGGACACACTATTCAAGCGCATATGTGCCATTATTGACTCAGATCGTTTCTTAAAACGAGTCTCTTGATTTATGTGGCTCTCAAAAATTTATGATTAGCGGCAGGTGCTAATTGGGGGAAGACACCGCGTGTCGATTGCATATTTACAAGATTCCGTGAGCTCATTTATTACAGACGAATGGTGCGCGAAAATCGTCGGCTCTTTTATTCTCAATTGTAAACTAATTACGATTATTGGCCGCAAGAACGGATGGCGTCGTTCCGCGAAAATAATCCACTCTTCACTCTTCATTTGTAGTTTCAAATTCAATTTTCGCTCTTTTCGACATTAGGCGAAACGCGTTGTGCAAATCACACTTCGAATTGGATTGTATGATAACCCCCCTCCATATGCTTTGTCGGTCGGACGTGAAAACAACAATAATCTGAGCCAAAACAAATCAAGTCGTTTAGAGCAGACGACGGGCCGGCTGTGTGTCCATATTTGGCCGGGTGTCACCCCATTCCTCTCCACCCGTTCTCCACCCCCTTCTTCGTGCTTCTATTGCGCGCAATGCTCACAAATGCGCGACTGGCCATCGGACGAGTCGCCTTGTCGAAAATGCATATCCCGCCTCATCAGAACGTGCGACTCCGATGTCTCGATGAAGCATGCACAAGTCTCATTCGACTTTTGATCATGATCGCATTTCTGTCGGTTTTCCTTTCAACACTCTTCTTCGTATTCTACATATACTATTGGAAAAATAGTGGACTTTTGAGAAGAAAGAATTTTTCGAAAAACGATCATGAGCAAAATACACAAGAAGACATTGAAGAAGATTTGAAGGAAACTGCGAAGGTGAGCCATTTCAATATTCAATTCGTTAAGAACTAAAATGAGTAAAATGTGAAAATTCTTTGAATCTACATACTGCTCCATTTGTTTTTATAATAATATCCTTTTTCGAGTCTGTATATTATTCTTCAACTTTTTCATTTATGTAAAATTGTATTGCAATTCTTCATTTGACCATTTTTTACACAAAAAAACTTATTCACAATTTACAATTTGGTTACACATGTCAAAAACGGGAAAATGGATTAACGAACTTGATAAGAACGACCACAACAGTTGATGTTCAACGTTCGACTTGAAATATTCGACAGCCAATCTTTTTTTATCACAAATTCTGTTCAAAATTCATATATTTTCAAAGCATATTCAACAAAATTCGAATGCTGCGAATTTTTCAAACTGAAACGACGTTTTTTAATTTCAGAAATACATCGGAAAATAATTTTATTTTAACGAATGCGCAATCAAAACGCTTAATTTTGATGTGGCCTAGTATTTCCCAAAGGAATTTGTTTTGTATATAAATGAGGCTAGCTTGGGAAACTCCTTTTTTGTTAAAAAAAAATAACCTCTTTTACAATATTTCTTCAAGAAAACGGAGCATTCAAAACAAATAAAATTGAATTTACGGTTTCAACAAAATGAGGGTTCTCTTTAAAAAAAAGAGAACATCAGAGGGTTATAGCAGAAAGTGATAATAATTAAAATTTTACGATTCGGAAGAAAAGAGCCGACCTTTTTTTTTGTTCGGAAGCTTGTAAAAAGCTGTTGATTGGCACCCGATGTCTTCCTAATCAGCCGCCAATTATAAAATTATTAATACGAATTTAAAATTTTCGATGAAGTATTACAAATTTAGTGATTGATTTAAATTAGAAAAAAAGAATTGTTTTGAATATAGCCTTCATGGGAGAATTTTTAGTTAATTTCGAATCAATTCCACTGAGGTTTCCCATTTTTGCACATTTGACTGATCAATTCAATTTTTCATTTTCTATTTGTCCAGCACAATACGACGAATTTTAATTTGTTTTCAGATGGAATCCATTCCGTCGATTGCGCTCCTCGCCGAGCCCGCTGTTTCATCGCCAATTACCAATTGTGAAGCTCTCGAGACATCGTCACTGTCGTCGTCATCAATCTGTCATCGTCCGCAGAATTTGGAAATTGCTGTTGTTGCGCTTCACGAGCAAACCGAGCCGACGTTTGTTCCGAGATTGCTGAGCGACGATTATGAATTGGCGAATAAAAGCATCGAGCAGCGCAAACTCGAAATTCAACGATTGATCAAGCGGATTGAACAAGCGCGATGCCAGCATGAGGTTGACATTCGTTTGCTAATCGCAACAAAATCCCAAAATGTTTAGAAATTCTCGAATCGGCTTAAAAGTGCTCAGAGGATAACCGATATGTCTCCGAATTCGTTCACACATCATTCCTGCCTCTTATAATCTCGTTGTACTTGAATGGGTATAAACATTTATATACATATAGTCGGCAAATGTGATCATCTGAAAAGAATGACGGAGATTTTCGAAATTGTGAAATGGACAAATTGCACCGGATCCAAATGACTTCCAAAATTTCTTCCGACAACGCACTGCCAATGGCCTCCTGAAAAACGAAACCGCTGGATTTATTAAGAGGAGACTCGAAAACTAACCATGCGTATTGTCAAAGTGTTTTTTCATGAATGAAGCAATCTCATTTTCGATTCCGCAAAGTTGTAGGGCATCGCCAAGTATCTTTTTCGCCTACAAATCCAAATTTCTATGCATTTTAAACACTCATTCACACATTTTCGATTTTTTATTGTGCCAATTTTAATTTGAGCACAAAATGTCAAAATCGGCTATTTTGATATTTTTTCTATTGTCATTCGATTTTGACATTTTTTGCCACCGCGTTTGATTTGCTTTGAAATGAGCCAAATAATTAAATTGTGCAATCTGGGGGGCATCTAGCAGTTTATTTATAAGTATGAAATATCTTTTTCCAATTCTAACCTCTTCGATCAGCTCATTTGAGAAATTGGTTGATCTCAAACGAATATCTTCGAATCTTAGTGATTTTTCAGGCGGTTCTCTCCATTTTCGCGATTCTCTTCTGTAATTCGGAATAATAAAAAAAAAAACACCAACAGCAATAGAATTAGGAGAAAAAGAGCTTACAAATCATAATAGGAATCGTCACATTCGGCTTGTCGTTCAAATTTTTTGCGCAATTGTTTCGCCGACAGTTTTTTGCTATTCATTTTTGCGCAATCGATAAAATAGAAGAAATGCGGGAGAAAAACGAGGAGAAATGCGAAGATTAACGATTTTTTTGAGGTCGACTCGTATCGCATTTCAGCTGGGAGCGGCGAGGAAAAAAAATACCCGGCGAAAATTGTTTAAATGATAAATGTGTGTGGCGGCTAATTAAGAAATAAATAAACCGCAATTAACTCACCGACGGACACTGAGTTTTCGACGGGCAAGGGCCAACATGGATCTGGAAAAAAAAACCGAGTCTGATTGATATTATTTATAGCTATTTTAGAGGGAATGCAAAAACCACCGAAAATAATAGTTAATGCTGATAACCATTGATCTAATAACAAACGAGATAATTGGAAGAAAGGCATTGTTGTGGCCCTGGACCTAAACTATCTTCTATTTGTTTTGTTTGCGTTGTTTTTGTTGATTTTATGTATAAATGGAATTATTGAATTGATTGTTGAAGTCACCATTTGGTGAGTTTTGTGGGTGGTGCAGATATGGACATGGAACATTCTTCATGTCCCACTGAGACGAATTATGGTTGTCATACAACTTATGGACGCCTATTATATAGTTGGCGTCCGATGACTGCTGTAAGTGGGTAGATTTACGAAGTGCGTAGTCTCACGTGGACTAACTGATTAATTTGCATTATAAGGGTCGGTTCGACAATTTTTTAATCGAATGACCCTGGAAATTCGAGAAAATTGCGAAACTCGTTAAGAAAAATAAACAGACACCGGAAAAAATACCGAAATAAGCGGTTCACACGTGGCGAGACCATTTCAAGGCGCATGCGCGTAAATCTACCCGCGTAAAGCCGTAGCCGGATTCCGATTGACATGGCCATCATATCTAGACCGTTTTACTTCTTAAAAGTTTTTATAGATATTAGTAAAATTTAATCTCATAAACGTAGCAAAATGATATGAAATAGTGATTTGAAAATAAGGACTCTCGTCAAAATTTCATGATGTAATATAATGAATTTTTAATCGAAAACTAAACTTTTGCTTCCCAATTAATAAGAATTATTTTAAAAAAATTGTTTATCGATATTTACAGAATGTTACATGACAAACAAATCGTTGGAAATTTGAGAAAATTGTGAGAAAAAATCCGGAAATTAGGCCAGAAATTGAAAGAGTCGAAGGCGTGTGTTTGACCTTGGATGAGATAGAATTGCGATTTGCAACAACAGCTGTCAATAAAAAACGCGATTGATCCCGAACAAACACAAAATGAGAAAGACAAAAGAGATGAAATGAAACGTGAGAGCGAATTAAAGATATCCTGGAGCAGTTCTTGGTGGCGGGCAGTGATCGCAAGCACCCTCATCACCATCTGATCCATCATCTCCCTGCTCTCCCGGCTGTCCAGGTTGACCTGGTGCTCCTGGTGCTCCGGCGTCTCCCTGTGGTCCTGGAAGTCCTGGCTGAGCGTTTCCTGGCTGTCCTGGTTGTCCTGGGGCTCCGGCTGGTCCTGGTGGTCCTGGTGGTCCTTATGGTCCTGGGGTTCCGGGAACATCAACAACCTGTCCGGGTTGTCCTGGAGCTCCATCATTTCCTGGTTGTCCTGGTTGCCCTGGTGGCCCTTGTGGTCCAGCTGGTCCTGGTGGTCCTGGAAGAGCAGCTCCTCCTGATTGTCCTGGGGCTCCTGGGTTTCCGCTTGGTCCCTTTGGTCCCGGTGCTCCTGGAGCTCCGGCTGGTCCGGCTGGGCAGTCAAAGCAGAAGTCAGTAGCGGAAACTGAGCTATCTTCGGAGGCATCTTGTCCTGGATTTCCTGGTGCTCCCGGCTGCCCGTCGTTTCCTGGGGCTCCATCTTGTCCAGGGGCTCCAGCAGGTCCAGCAGCTCCCACTCCACAAGAGCAGCAACTTCCGCCGCTAGCTGGAGAGACCTCAACCTGATCGTCGATAACCTCCTCGTCATCGTACGATTGTCTACGAGCCTTGTGGCTGCGGTAGACAGCGCCGACATGTTGACGATGGACATCTCGTTTAAGACGCGCCTCTGCTCCACGGAACTGAAAACAAAAAGATTCGAATTGGAGAAAGACAAAATAGAAACCTTCTCATAGGCATCCCAGAGTCCGTCGGATCTCTTCTGGCAGAACTCGACCTCCTCTTGCAACGAAGACTGCATGTGCTGAACGTAGCTGTACAGCATCGGCACTGCCAACACCACTGTAAGCGTGGCGATGGTGGAGACGGCGATGCCGAAAAAAGCGACGCGCCGAAGGGATTCGGTCTCACGGGCGATTTCTTTACTCATTTCTGTGATGAGAATGCTTCTTCACCGGATTACTGCTGGTTTTTATATGTTAGTTCGAATGCGGAAGGAAGTCTTTTTGCATCAGATCATTGTCGACTATGAATTTATCACCGAGAAACAGTTTAAAAAACTGCCTAACCTCATCACACAAAAGCTGGCGACCTATGCGTTGTAATATAATTACGAGTAGTAAACAAATGTTTCACGCTGGACGGTAATTTCATAGTTTTTTACACTTTCTGGCTATTTTAACGTGTATTTTCCTCAAAATGTGTCTATATTTTGTCACACTTCAATAATTCGTTGCGGATTTTCCCTTTCTTCAATTATGAAGTCGCTGCTTTTTACAGCATTTTCAATTTTTTTTACTAAAGAATTAAATTTTTAATAGCAAATTCATAAGAAAATGAGTCTTTCCACATAAACTCTTTCTAAAAATACATCCTCTTATTCTCTGGGGGAGAAAATCATTATTATTCCTTTGTGGGTAATATTTTTTGACACTCTAGTCACTGAAATCATTCATTGCGTAAACAAAAAAGCTTCCTCGAAACCCCCCTTATGCTTAAATTTATACCTACATAGGTATTAAAATGTTTGAAAAATAACAAGATGAAATAAATCTCTAATGTAAGTACGATTTGTGACAATTCAATCCTTTACTCTCTTCTTAAATTCAAACAATTATTCATCGATTCGCTATTTTTGTAATTATTCGTTTATTTCCTCTATTTCATTGTTTCTTTATTACTCTTATTTCTTTGAATTTTTTAAAATAAATTTATTTTGCTTCAACATGTGTGGTTTAATTGATTCTTGTTGTGTTGCGGGACAACTCGAGTGTAATGTCTTTATTAGCGAATAAATAACGGCAAAGAAGAGACCGAAAGTGCGTGAGGGCCTTATATAGCGCTCCTATATCTTGATAAGGCCGTCGGTCACGTTGCAATATCTTTGGTCGTGGCTCCAACAATTCTAAAAAATTAAGTCCATTTGGCGGTCGCCATTGTTTTGCAGACAAGCGATTTCACAATTCGGATTCGACAAATTACTAATCCAGAACCAAATGTTGTCGAATGCGAGTTGATGAAATGTCGGCTAGAAAGGAGATGTCCGTCTTCAATGATTATTCCAACATGACGCTATCAAAAGTGGCAATTTACCGGCCAGGTAGCGAAATAAACAGCTCCTATGTTATTCTGGGAATCGCTGGAATCGGCCGATTAGAGGGCAAGTGGATTCAGTTAGATAATTGCTTTAATCGTTATTTCAGCTGGAGACGACGGAGAAACTCTACAAATCCGATAAACAGTTTATATTTATATAAAATATATGTATAAGTTTTGTAAAAAATGTTAATAAAAGCGTTATTATGAACATGCCTTTTCTTAAAAGGTTAATATACTACAAATTTCATGAAAGGTGATTATAGGAGTTCAAATGGTGTCCGGCAGAAGCATCAAGCTTCAGTTTCTGCCCATAGCGCCAGCTTTTGTGTGATGAGGTTAGACAGTTTTTTATCGGTGATAAATTCAAAGTTGACAATGATATGCTGCAAAAAAATAATTGACAAGGACAGCAAATAAGTTATGGGACGAAGGAATTTCAATGATCATTTGAATAGAGTGACCTTTGGATGAAGACAGATGGAATAATGCTAATGTGAAGTTAAGAAAAATAATAAAATGTTAATTAAGAAAATTGAATTATTTTCAAATCAAGAAAGGTTTTTGGTTTTCTACCAACTTTCAATATCTCTTTTTTTGTGATTTCTTTGGATGATGCCAAATGTTGATTATAGTCAGTGTCACAGTGCAATATTTGATTCATTTAAATCGCAAATCATTTTTGTGTGGAATTGCAATGCGTTTTTGATAGGTGTTTGTGTTTTTTTTTTCAAGCAAAAAATCATCTGATGTAAAATTTGATGGAAACGATGATAAAATTCACCCACCGAACCAATATTACCGTTTGAAAAAATCGTTCAGAATTCTTGGGCAAATCAACCGCTATTCTAAATGAAGTGTATTGTTCAAACAAAGTTACTACCATTATTTTTCGCTGCAAGACCTTGTAGTTCTGACGCGTTGTGGTTTTCGATTATATACACGTTTATATTATATAAGTATAAGTAATAGAATATAATACGGTAGCCACATTTTTGGGAAACCGAATAAACTGTATACACATTTCGAATTAATCGTTTCGTATTGTAGAAAACCGAATAAATCAATCTCGATTTATCTCAAAAATTTTCCCAAATGTTGGAATATTGCACCAGTAAATTGGTTGGTTTTCGCCAGTATGCTCCTATTTTATAAATGTGAGAGAAAACCCGAAAATAAAGAGGAAAATCTCGACAATTTCGTATAATTTATTGCATTCTATTTTGGCGCTTCCTGAACTTAGGAATTTGTTTTTCTATTTCAGCGGAATCCAAAGAATTCACCCCCGTTTCACCTGTGCTCCTGTCCGTCGTCGTCGTTTCACGGAAATCATCGATTACCCCGGCATCTCGAAACATATTCATGATGTATGTATTTCAACGCGTCTCATAATGGTCCGTTTCATCGAACCATTAAAAATGAATGAATAGATCATATCCATTCGAAATGCACTTTTCGTTGTGACTCATTTCCTAATTTCTCTTCAAACTTCTTATTTATTTTTCTATTTCATACAAGACTTTCCTCAAACTCAAAAAAACCATGTTCTGGGTATTTCTATAATTCTTTTTTTTCAAAGACATCCATTTAATTCGATAATTTAAATGTGAGAATTTCGAAAAATACGTTGAAATTTGTTTGATATGTACGATTCGAATAATTCGAAATATTATAGACATCGAAATGGATTATATTTATGATTTTAATCGATGGTGCCATAGTGACCCGTATTTTGCGCCTAGAAACGATTTTCGCAATCGGAAACACGCATCGCCTTGTTTTTTAATGTTTCGAGCATTTATTTTTTCAATATCCGAAACAAATTTTCGACGATGACGTTATTCTAAAATCCTTTTTTATTTTCGCCAATTTCGGTGAGCAGAACAACAAATGAACATCCGTTTGGAGTTCTCACAAATTTAATACGGTTAAAACCGTTTGTTTTTTTTTCCGAAATAATCGCATTTTCAACGGTTATCTAAATATGCACTTTACAGCCCTCATTTCTTGTGGTACTATTCCGGATATTAAAAAAAAAACCTACTGGTGAAAATATGCATAGTTTCAATTTCATCTGTTTTTCCCAAAATTTAAGATGATCATGAAGAATTACGTATAATATCGTCAGTAGACACTAAAATATTGCTACCTGGAATATCCGCTAACGAGATATCCGCCGTAAGCTCTTGCCATTTTCTGATCACATATTTATGCCGGTGTCACTTCTCATTCTTACGATCATGATTATTTGTTCTAGAATACATAGTTCGATAGATAACCATAGATCAGATTACTTGTACATATGCAATTAAATCTTTCAAGTTTGTATTTTTTACGATATCATTTGAAATAATTTATCATCTCAAGAATTAATGTGAATGTTCGCGTTCTGCGAATATCTCAATGTTCTTCAAATTGTCTATTTCTCTTTTCTTATATGTACATATATGATAATACATTATCTTCTTGCTTTTTTTCAGTTTTCTTGTCAGTTGTCTTTCAATAATTGAGTTCAGAAAACCTGAAAACTCGCTGAAATGAATTATCGTTTCACCTTCATCGATGTTCCCCTTGATTGCAACGCGATGGATTGAATCAGTTGTCATTCCCTTCATACAAAGCCAATCTCTATAAAACTTTCAGGAAATGATTACAAGATCACAAAAAATCAAATAAACAAATAAAAATGTGCAAAAAATGGGTAAATGGCGTATGAGATTGCGTAATTGTGTAGCACTCTGTAATTATTAAATCCCCAAAAAAACAAGTGCTTAAATTTACGGCTGAAACGGTACAGTGAAAATGAAGATGTTTTGCAAGTTAAAATCTCTTTATGACACCTCAAACTTGGGTAATTAAAGCCGGAATACAAAAGGTTAAATCTCGAAACAGTAAAACAAATTAATACATCAACTCCCAATCAGTTAGCATACACTAAGAACAAATTATTAAAAGCCCCAAAAGATTCATTTGCTCTACGTATGAAATTTAAATGAATCTTTATCAATTAATTAAGAAATCGCGAGATAATTTGGGGTTCAATAAAAAACAACGAAGCGTAAAATATAAAATAATTCGCAATCCTTTTCGTTGGGAATACACAAAGCGCCGCTCCGTCCTCGGCCACGAAAACTCGGCCATCACAGTTCGGCCATTACATTTATTTCGACGGCGGAGCCTTTATGAAGGCTTTACGTTCTACAGTATCCAAATTTTAATTATTTTTAATTTATATTTAAATTACCACCTCAAAAAATGCGATAGTTCAAGGTGCTCGTTTTTTAGGATGCTTAGGATAATTTTTTTTATCTGAAACTCGAAATCATAAAATTGAAACTTTGATTTGCGTTTGCCAAAAAAAAGTTGAAAATAATAACGTATGCGATTACATCTACTGACGATTATATGAAGATACCTTCCCTAGATCGACCTTTATTCCGCACGCAGTTTTCGATAAATTTCATAAATCCCTTCCTCCGGAGTTCCTTTTATGGAATTCTTTCTTTTTTTTCAACAAAAAAAAAAAAAACGAGCTGTTACAACATCCTGCTTATATTGTGTGCAATTTTCCGCTTCATATTGCTCGACTATTCATATTTGGTTAGAGCTCGCGTCGGGACCATTTTATGCGAATTATACGATGTTATTAGACTGCCGGCGGTCGGTCAGAAATTCGATACGCACTTATTCGCATTATTTTTTTTCGCGCAGGTGAAATTGCAGCGCTCGAATTTTGGAAGCGGTCGGAGAAAAAAAAACGGCTTATGAATGCCAAATTTATTGAATATCAAATTTCGTTCCACTTGACAGCCGAATTTTCGGTTTGGTTTCGACACAAACGCACACGATCGTTTTACTTCGGCAAATTATCGCCGATTGGCCGACGAATTGTGAACGTTGTCGATGCGATGGGACCATATTCGAAGATGAATTGGCGGCAAGCATTTTTCTCGCGAAAATTCAATTTCTCTATGTGAGAATTGCGTATGTTACTGATTATTGTTTTGCGAAGAACACGCACCTCGAACATTTCAATTCATACAAATATGCATTTCCTTTTTTTTTATAACCCTTCGAACACGCTGCACATTTTTTTATTCATTTCTTATTCGAAATCAATGTCTAGACCATTCCAAAAAATATAAATCCTTTTTTTTTCGACACCAAGTCCAATTTGGTCCATTATGAATTCTTTTGTAATCCGAAATGCGTGTAATTGTTGAGTTTTCAAAATTGTTCAAAGAATTCAGCTGGGAAAAGAGTTCGTTTTCTTTTTTCTCGAATCGCGTTTCCTTATATGAATGTACGCATATTTTACAGTCTCATGAAATACGTTTTGCTCTTACAACTCACAACTCATAGTGCATTAATAATTCGATAAAGTCGAGATGTCCCTGAAGACGTCAATTTTTATTGTTTCGTCTCATCGAGAATTCGTCGCCGCTCTACGTCGTTTTATATTCGTTTGCTGAAATTAAAAATAGTTATTTTTTGACACAAATTGATTGTCATAAAACTATTTAAATAACGCCGATACATTAAAAAAAAAATTGTCGATAGTATTCTTTAAAAAAAAACTTCTCCAAAATGAGTTCAACTTCTAACCGTTGGTGGAATTTTTTTTTGTTTTAAATTCATTTATCATTCTCGGCGGATTTTGTGGAACTTCGATTAATCGAGACAACACAAATTGAGTTCACATAATTACCCGCAATAAAGTGGTCCGATTTCAAAATTTTGCACGAAGCCCAAACATTGGTTTTCGAATGATTTCATTCGTCCGTCGGATGTCTCGAATTTCATCCCATTTATCATAATTCAGCACCGATTATTCCGTTGTGCACTTCGGTTTTATTTGTTTGTTTCACGTGGCTTCCTCTATTCTAATGTTTCGAAAGTGCTCCAAAAACGATCGTTTGAAACACGAGAACCGAACGAGCATCGTCCGCAAAAAAAAATGTCGAAGTCAACTAATTTTCGTTTTGTCAGAAGGTGGTGAACCTTGATGGCTTTTTTCTTTTTTTTCCTCAACTCAACGTGCTGATGAGAACTTCGTTTTTTTTTCGGCGGCACCACTTGTTTAGCGAATCCCATTATTCTTATTTCAATGTTTTGTTGTTTTGAATAATTTGATGCTTTCCGCTGCTCGGTTTTGAATATTTTTCTCGTTGGCTCGTTCGCTCGTGTCGATCTCCCGCTTCAGATGACGTCGTCTTTCAAGTTGCTCGTGTCACAAGCCATTACCATCAAAAAGCTGGGCGGTTTATTGTTTGTCATCCGTCGTCGCATATTATGCATTTTATAAAAACGATTTCCTATCTCTCTCTCTCTCTATTTTTGGACGAACTCGATTAATGTGCGAGCACATTTCGAATACCGTATAAGGGCAATCGGACGATGAGAATCAAAGAAAATCATAAATTTGGCGGAATGAATGAATAATTCAATTGTTGCCGAGCCACACAAAAAATGCACAAATTTGTTGTTCCACTTTTCGCTAATTGTAAGTGGTTAGTTTTTAGTCTCCAACACCTTTTATTTCTAAAAAAAACTTTTCCACAAAAATTTTCTAAACGCCAATTTTTTTCCATCGGTAGAGAATTTGAAGTTGATGAGATTCTGATTTTCTGGGGTCAATACATTCCAGTTTCTTTGCGATGTTTCGTGTCGAATTTACATTCTGTGGTCAAAATTCAACTTTGGATATTTTTAGACTTTTGAATTTTAGAAATAAATCCTAGTTGAATTTTACGAAGACCTTACGATTATTTTTAGATTTATTGTTCAATTTGATATTATAAAAATAATAAATTCAAGTTTGGATTCTGAAAATTCAGAATATCGTACTTCATCCAAAGCAAATACCAATTTAACCCTTCACTGTCTAATTTGTTAGGACAAATAACGCATTTCATTATTTTCATTTTGAGCAAAAAAGCGCAAACCGTCATCATTCATTTTATTGATTTTTCTCAACAGAGTAGTCGTTTCTCGTTAATAAGAAGACGGTCTTAGGAGGCGCGCAATTTCCGGTGTTTCCTTGCAATCCGGAAATTCGGCAGCCGAAAATCAAGACATGCTTACGCACGTGGCACGCGGTGTTTTCGAACTCAACAAATTTGGCGCGACACTCGTTTTTCGACTTATTTATTCATTATTTACTATTGTTCATTGTCCGGACTCGGCTGACGATGGCGCCACCAAGTGCCTTTTCGAGGCTCGCCCTGACAACACCAAACACGGGTGTGGCCGCAATTTGAATAATTGGCGAGTTTCGCCAGTGCGCGGCGACGATTCCGTCGCAACGTGCGAAAATTCGCGAATCGTTGTCAAGAACGACAAAGTTCGACGAGAACAAGCCTATTGCGACGAGTCAAAATAATTGTTGTTTTTTTTTTTGTTCGAGCAATTTTGAGATGGTGCTCAGAAATGCATTCAACTCTTCTTTTCTACCCGTCAATGCCCTCCAATATTCATTCTTATACGGTACTTCTGCTTTTTTTTTTGTCAACCATCTTTTGCTGAGGAGCACTTTTACTGCATTTTCTGCATTTTTGAGGACTTCGTTTTTTTTTTAGATTTAAATAATTTCAACACAAAAAAAAATCTATTTCCCTTAGTGATCAAAAAAAAAGTTGGATTTCTATTTTTGACGTTTTCGATATGTCCATAAAACATAAAAATGCAGTAATTATTTCGTCATAAAACAAGAAGTCGTTTGCGAACGTAAAAGAAATTCCAAAAAAGGCCAAAAATCCAATTATTCGAATATCTGATAATGCACATGAGAGTCGCCATTAATTTTTTTTTACATTTTTTTGCGAAATTGGCGAATCGTGCCGGCAAAATCTGTTTTAGAGCATTTTTGAAATTTTTCTGAAATTTCGATTTGAGAGAGATTTTTCGTTTTCAGACAATTGTCCTATCACCATATTTAAAATATCGAAAGAAGTCGTTAAAAACGAATACATCGATTCGAAGCTTTTAAACATTAGAATTCTGTTCTCACTTTAGCGGGACCATTCCGATTTTATAGGAAGATACTATAGATAATGGTGTGCATTTTGTTTCGTGCCAGTTGCCAGCTTCATCATAATGTTCTCAATATTTTTTGCTCGTTTTTTTCGCCGATCTCATCAGAAAAAAAAGCATTCCTCTTTTTCCCCATAACGTATTCATTTTTTTTTCGTGGTCATTCGTATAACATTGCGTGTTCGCCAAGGATATCATTTATTTGCCGCCTTCCAGATTTTCTCGTCAACAAACAATCGAATAAGAAATCAAAATGAATATGGTCAGAATTCGTCATATAATGGAGATGAGACGTGCGTGTAAAATGCCGCCTCTTTTGCCGCCAAAATTGAGAAAGTTTGTGATTGGATTACGGTGGATTCCAATGCGATTCATGATTTCAGAGAAACTTGCGATTCCGACAAAAAAGGTGTCAAGGATGTTCTCGATATTAGTATGAGAATACAGTAGGTCGAAATGAGCAGAAAAAAAAGAACAAAAATGGAATTGCAAAAAGTTCCAATGAAATTTTGAATTAAAAAAATCAAAAGTATATAATAGAAACAATTATGAAATAATAGCTTCTCGTTTTATTTTTTATTCAAAAAACTCGATTCTTTTATGAAATTGAGCTCACTAACGAGCCAAAAACAAATTTCCAGAATCGTTGCACCGGAAAAATTGAGCTCGAAATTCTATTATTTGCAATTATTCGAAAGTCAAGACAATTCCGACGGACCATGGAATTTGGTAATTTCAGTTCGAAATGTTAATACACACAAACCCCATATGTGTTGATTCTAGATAACCGAATCCGAACAACTCGATTCGTATGAAACTTATGAATTAGAGGAGATATTTGCAATTGAATATTGCTTTGAGAGATTGCAATGGATTCGGATTGATGTGTCAGTTTTTTTTCGATGTCTGCAATGCTCAATTCAAATTAGTTTTTATAGATTGGAGAAGACTGATGTCGGAAATACAGTCAACTGTAGCGCAGTTTTCAATGTTGCTCATGCGGCAATCAACAACTACGATTTGACATTGAGGTGAATGACCCTTTAAATCAGATTTTAACATCAATTTCAGAGATCACATGGGTTCAAGTATTGCTGAAATTGAGATTTGGAGTCAAATTCGAGAACGGCCTCAGCCAATTCTGATTCAGGTTGAAGCAAAGAACATTTCGAGTAAGCTGATCTCATCGAATTCGAATGTAATTCAAAAAAAAAATAAGCAAACAAATAAAAATTATGTATTTGAGATTGCCATTGAAGTGTACAAATACGAAGAATTGTCGAGGAAAAAGCTTTTATATCGAAGCGAAGGATTGAGACAGCCGAAATTGACTTGGAGGTCGTTCAATATTCAATCCGACGATCTGTATGGAGACGAGAAATCAATCGAAATTGTGTGTATTAGCGACGACGAAAAAGAAGGCATTGTTGGACATGCTGTTATAACACAGGACAATGCAAAAGCCAACGAGCCTATTCCGGTAGGAATTTCCATTTACAAATATGTACATACTATACATCAGTGTAAGCAAACGATATTAAATATTTGGGGAGAGTTTACATCATGCCTTTATATGGCTTTTTTTTTAGAAAAACAAATTTGAGCTCAATAAAAGAAAAAAAAGTGCAATTTTTGAGGGGTCTGAAAAAACTGAAACAAATATACACAAAATTGATTGCCGAAATAAATGTGTTTGACATTTCAAAGCGAAACGTTTTCCCTAAAAACTATATAAATTTAGGAATTTTTTTTTCAATTTCTTAAAATATTAAAAATTTCAGATATACAGCGAGAATTTCAAACAAGGTCGCAAACCAATCGGAGAATTCCGAGTCGTCAAATTCTCGCAACTTCGGGCATTTTCATTTCTAGAATACATTCGAACAGGGTATTCGAATAATGATAATTTGATGTGTGTGAATTACGAGACATTTTCTAGAACCACTCTTCGTTTTGCATTCGCAATTGATTTCTCAGCTCGCGAGCATTTGATGACTCGCGATGATCATTTTCAATTCGCCAACGACGTCGAGTTTGTTGTCCGCTCAATCGGAGAGACTGTCGAACCATTCAATGCCTCGAACTCATTCCTTTCCTATGGGTTCGGTGCGAAGATTCCTCCGCAGTCCCGCGAGTCAAACAACTTTTGTCTTTCGCTGGACGTCGATCCAACGACTCAAGGCGTCAATGGGGTGCTTAATGCATTCATGAAGTGCTACCAAAGGGTTCTGCCGCTGAGCACTGCCAAATTCTCTCAGATTATCTATCATATGGCAAAGTTTTTCTAATCGCACGTGTTTGAAGTTAAAAACCAAATTTTCAGAACTGCTCAGACTAATTATAATAAGGATGCTAGCTGTAGCTATTTTGTTCTTTTTATTATAACTCGCGGAGCCGTCGATGATTTAAAAGAAACTGTCCAAGCGGCAATTTATTCATCAAAAGTCCCCATCTCCATTGTCTTTATTGGAGTCGGTGTTGATGGATTAGACGAGGTGGATCGGATCGGATCGGCCGGCAAACGATTGGAATATCAAGGGCGAAAAAGCGAACGTGATAATCTGCAGGTTTACAGACCGAAAACCATGAATCTTCTTATTTTTTTTTTGTTGCAGTATGTGAATGCGACGAAAACCCGTCTCGAATGCGATAATTACAGTGAAATGGTTTCAACTTTTCTGTACAAAACACTTCAAAATGTAGGCAATTCGGAAAGTTATTCAACAAAAAAATTGAGAGATTGAAGATCACATGGCAACTTCCCGCGTTTTTCATGCAAAATCATGTAACTCCGGGAAGGAGTGTCGAGGGAAGAAGACCGAGTGCTTCGTTGAGTCGAGATAGCTCGAACACAGATCCGCTCGATAGCCCGCCTTCAGAAGAGCACCTCGAAAGGCATCGAACAATCAGTGGAGACGTCAGCTCAAGATAGTGAGTTTAATATGAACTAAATCGTGATATTTTGTTGAATAACCCATTTTGTTTTTTTGGGTGACACGATTGAAAATGCGAAAAATTGCAGCCGCCATAATCGGCTCTCCGCTGAAATGCGTTCGATGACAATCGATGATTCGCATCGCGATTGATCGGCTGATTCGATATCAACCTCAAATTGAAAAAGATAACAATTTTTGTTTATTTTTTTTGCCTCAACGGAACTTGAATTTTTCCCATTTTTTTGTACATACAATCAAGTATTTTTCTCCCTCTCGGTTGCGTCTTTTTTTTTCGAAAATTGTTTGCGAGTGTGTGCCTTTTCTCCCATAATTTTTTTCATTAAAATTGATGTTTTAATGAATGATTTTTTTTAAGGAATTTCAAACATTTTGAGATTAAATTTTTGTAAACAAAATTCATTTTTGACAAGCTTCAAACTATTCACAAAAAAATGCACAGTTTCAATTCGATTGTCTTGTGTTTGATTCGTTTTTTTTTCGAATCAAGCATTGCTGGAATATGCGAAGTTTCGTGAAATCGAAAATTTTTGAATAATACTAAATGATTGGCATTTTTTCGTCGAATCGCGTTCATCGACCTAACAAGGAAAGTCGTTTTACCTCCCGTTTTAGAATTTTCGTAACCTTGCGCACATAAACTAGAACTCGTCTGTAACCTCCTAGTGCAGGCTGGAATTTTGTGAACACACATAGAAGACCTTCTAGTTCACGTTCGTGTGCAAAGTTTTTTAAAAATTTCAAAAAGAGAGGTGAAATGACTTCTCTTGTAAGAGACATATCGATTATCACACCGAGATATTTCTGTAACATAAAAAAGTATTTTCAAAAGAAAGTAAAACCATCACATTGTAGTTAATACATTTAAATCTGCGTATAAACTGCGTATGATTCGGATTTTAAAAAAATAGTATGGGCTAGTAAGGGATCCACAAAGATCAGAACCAAAATACTGTCCGACGGACTTTGAACCTAACCATCATAGCGGGAACACTTTGATCTTTTGTTAGTCGATCTTTCTGAATATTGCTTAATTATTCTAGTAGATGCTATCTTCAAATATCACAAATATTAACAATATTATTGCGGAAGATATTTGAACCTAGAAATTTATTGAAAAAAAAACACGGAATGTGTGATTCATGAATTTTCGAATTTTTAGTGTAAGAAGAATAATCAAAAAATCAATATAAATCGATGGAATTGAAAAGAAAATTGGAAAAACTTGAAAGATCGATCGATCTGAATGATCTTTCATGTTTCAAAGAACATTAGTATGATCGTTTGCATCTCTCTGTCTCTCTCTCTCTCTCTCGACAGCCTTCTCAATTCATTTTTGGTATGCAAATTATTTGAAACGCATAGTTAGAAAAACAACGAGAGATAAATATATCAGAGTGAACAATCAGTAATCGATAACAGCGGCCAGCCAGCCAGTCTGCCTCATTTCCTCTCCACCACTCATTCTATTCGCCCAGCGCGCACCCAAAAACGTTTTCCTATTTCCATTTTATCATTCCCATTTTACATATTCTGTTTGCTTTTACTAACGCGGGATAATCTCGCCGTTTTGGGTTTTTGGCTACAATTTTCGATTGTATTCGTGTACATTTTTTGTGCAAATTCTGCATTAAAATTTAGCGTTTAAATTGAGCTATAATTGCTCAATAATTAACACACTTCCATTATCAAAATACTAAATAGGTTTGAATTAAAATTCTAAGAATTTCATGGATTTTTGATGATGAAGAACAAGTCGAATTTCGATGCATAAAAGGACCACCTCAAAATTGTTTATCTATGTATATTAAACCCTTTACTTTTTGTTCGAATAGTCGCGAGAAAATTTGACGAAATCAACGATTATCGGAGACAAAAACGCATAAATTATGGTTAATTTGGTGTACCGAGGACACAAAATCATTCTGGTTTTTGACGGCATTAAACAACTGAAAACATCTTATGATGGCCTCACTTCTTTGAGAAAATCAATTCATTTATTTTTGGCCTTTTTTGATTTGATTTTCTTACACTTTTTCAATCGGATCGGCATGTTCTATAAAGACTTTTGCGATCCAGTGTTATCTATAATTGTTGTTTCTTACGAACATGCCAATTCATGCATTTTAGGTGTAATAATTTTTTGAAGGGATGAGGAATACAAAAGTACAAACAGGAAATATACCCGGGTATTGCTGTACGAGAGTAGAATTTCGGGTTGCATCTTTCGCTAGGGTCTCGTCACGAAGGATTCTTATTTTCTAATTTTTATTTTTAGTTGCCATTTTTTGCCAATTTGATTGATTTTATAACAACTTTGCAATTAAAAATTATCAAAAAGAATCTTCGAGGTGAAATTAAATAACGAATGGCAGTTGGTCCGCTCGAGACCATTGCGAAAGACGCACCCCGTAAATCTAATCCTCGTGAAAAGAAACTTTTTTTTTATCATAAAATTATTTGAAAAGGTGTGAATCGATTTCACTACCGTATCAAAAACTAGCGTATTGATTTGGAACAAAACGAATCAAATAATTTATTTGAACCCAAATTCGCACGTGCGATTCGTCAAAACTAGTTGGCGGCCGTTTTCGGAATGATATTCGTTTATTATCAACGATTTTTTGAAAATCGCGCGATGATAGCGAAAACAAGCAAAGAATGCATATAGGCGATCGAATGTGTTGATAACGATTCCAGTCTGTTGTAAGGACATGAAAAACATTCTCTATTTTTCTTTAAAAAACCTTACTATGATAGTGTATGACCAGTTTAATGCGAAAAATTAAAAAAAAATATTCTGGAAATTTCTAGAGAATCTCTAAAAATTCAATGTTTTTTATTTAATAATCGTCTTGTTTTTTACTCGTCTCTAAAAATTTAAATAAAAATAACTTATGTTTTTTCTTCTAAATTTTTTTATTGGAAAGCCTAAAAACTCAGGATGAAGCTCGAAATGAAAAAAACAAAGCTTTGACACTTCAACTCTCGAAACTCTAGAAGAAAGAATACAGTAATCAATTATTCTCACGTGAAAATCACTCAAAAAATGATGTGTGAGATTACTGTAGAATTTCAATTTTTTTAAAACAAGAAATCAATCATACATTTTCGAAAAACTTTTCGGCAACGAGTTTCGAAGAAGAGAAGACGTGCTAATTGAAATGTGTGATTGTGAATTGTTTGATGACAAATCTTTCTCAATCACACATCATTTTTGCATTTTCTCTTCTGCGAATATAAGTTGAATTCAATTCAACGGATCACTCTGTGTTTTTCAAATGTTTTTGTTTGTTGTTGAATTCATCGCAAAAATCGAATATTATCCTTGATCTCTGATTTTTTTCTTCAGTTTGTTGCAGTTCAACAGTAATCGTTTTCGCGTGATTTCTGTTCTCTGGTTTATTTCAAATTAAATTCCTCGTATATAAATTTCTGTTGGAATCTCGACGAAATTGGTTTTTTCTCGATGATTTTCTCGTTTTAATTTCCGTCGAATATTTATTCACCCAAAAGCAATATTAAGGTATAAATTTGAGATATTTACAGTCTTGAGCCTTTCAGATTTCTCTCGATTTTCTATTCTATTCTTTAATAATGAGAAACGCAAAAAATGGAGATTAATTAAAATATCGAGAATTCTTTTTTAGAATTTTTTTAAAATCGTGTAAAAATTGATTGTAAGAAGCTGCAATTTTTTTCCCCAAGTAGAGAATTACTGTAGGCTATAAGAATGATGATGCAAAACACAAAAAGAGAGAAAAATCGATTCAATCAATTTGGAATTGTAATGAAAAACTATCAAATTCGAAAACTAGGAGAAATTAACCAATTTTTGCCCGCGCTTTTGATGAATACTGTAGGTTTGTATCTGCCTTTACGTACACGAAAAAGTGATTAAAAAAAGTGAATACATATAAAAATATTGTAGAAGAAGAGAATCATATATATAATAATGAATATTCACAGAAACTGGATGTTGTTTTCGATGTTCACGTAAAATTATTCTTGAAGATTCGTTTTGTCGCCGAGAAAAAAACGAGTTGAGATGCGAGTGTGTGATATTTTGAAAACCACCTCGTGCAGTTGATCATACTGCCTTGTTTAGGAACTAGAAAGTTCAAAGTTGGAAAACGAAAACAGTGTTGAATGATGAGAGAGTTGATCTTGTATTTTCAACTGATGACGTAGTCAAACGCCGCTTTCGCGCCTTCAAAATCATATTCGATCAAGTGTTCTTTTCTCTATATAAACTTGCGAATTGTAGACCAGTTGGGTACATCGTCTTTCAACTCGAATGAATCACCGAACAACAGTGGTAATTGGTGAGCTCATTCATTCCGATTCCTGCTATTGATTCTACGTAGTTCGATTGCAGACTCTGAAAGTGACAATGAAGAGAGCAATGGAAATTCATCACAAAGTAGCAGCACCAGCAATAATATATGTAGAGTGAGTTTCACATCGAACTCTATTGTTTTTCGTTTCAGAATGATTTAGTTTGATTTCAGAAAAAAAAAGAACAATTTTGATAGAAATATCACCATTTATATTTTATAGCCATCTCTCTCTCCCTCTCTCTCTCTCCCTCTCTCTCTCTCTCTCCCTCTCTGTCTTTATAAATCCATGTTCGTAGGGTAGACTTTTGAAGTGGAGGTCATTTTCATTGTAAACGTTTCTGAAATTGAATCAGCAGATACAATTTGAAACTTTGGGGTCATAATATTTTCTGGTTTTGAAACGAAATGTTTTCTGACCTCGTTGAAAATGTCATATTCATTTGATCAACTTGTCAGTAGAAAAATCATTTTTCATTTGATCATTCATTCGACGAATTCGCTATAGATATGCGGCGCAGAGAATGCAGCAATACACTATGGAGCCGTGAGCTGCGTCGGATGCAAGGGATTCTTCCGAAGAGCGCTGCTCAAGGCTGATCAGTTGGAATGTGCTGCGGATGGCGATTGTCCGGTTAGCAGATCTCGTATGTTGTACTAAAACCGACCATTATTAATATTAGTCGTGCGGAATTCAGAAAAAATTCAATGCAGAAGTTGTCGATTCAATAAGTGCCTTCGCGAAGGAATGAAGCCAGCGTGTAGGCCGCGAAAGCGATCATTTGTCGTGTCTCAATTTGATAGTTTCAGTCGTTCGACCGAATCGCGATATTCCACCGAAGCCCCGAAAACCGCCGTCTACTATTCGATGCGAAATGGTGTAGATATACATATTCTCGAATGAATTGATTGAATCTTCGAATTTAGAAGGAGCATGGAAAAACATTGAAAACTCGCGATGAGTGGATCAAAAAAATAACCGTCGATATGCGAACAATTCTGATGACGTTATTGAATTTTGAGACAAAAATCATGAAGGCAAGAATTGCAAAAAAAAAGTTGGAAACAAAAAATTAATTAAGATCTAAATTCAGGGTGATACGAATCTTCATGCGTCGAAGATTTATCCGTTAAAAGGAATCGACAAACTGCGAGATATAATCGAGAATCCGGATTGTTTGAAAGGTCGTCGGACAGAGGTAAACTAGCAATCGATTTCGAGGTCTTCGAATTCGACTCGATTGATTTCAGATGCGATATGAGCCATATCGAATGGCTGATAATGACGAGTTGTGCGCAATTGCTTATCGAAGACTCATCGCTGCCGTTGATTGGGTCGAAAGCATTTGCACACTTCTCGGAAAAAATGTTGGCATCGATGATAAGGTAATTCTCCCCAAAATTGGACTAATCGAATAAAAATGATTGCCTCAGATTGCTCTTGTGAAGAATGCTTTCATTCCACTAACAATCTTCAATTTCTGTTCAAGAACTGCCGAAGTCACCAAAGATCCGGATGTCCTTTGTCTGTGTAATTTCGCATACGTTCCTCGCAATATTTCCAAACTTTATTCCGAGACCTAGTAAGTTAATTGCTATAATAATTAAATCCAAAAATTGGTGTTCAGCCACCTCGGAAATGGTCTCGTGACTCGGGCACTTGACGAACTCGTGGCAGTTTATCGAGATTACGGTATACAAGAGGAGGAAATCGTTTGTATCAATGCTTTACTTTGTCTAGATCCTTGTAATTAAGAACAAAAAATTGAAAAAAAAATCTGAAAAAAAACTGAATTTCAGTAGCCAAAGATATATCTGAAAGTTTATTCGAAAAAATCATGGCAGTGCGCGCAAAAATCACCGATTGTCTTTACTCGATTGTGAAGGAAGTCCGTCTGAGTCCGACGCCGAATGTCTGCTACGGACACCTTCTGCTATCACTAGCTACCGTTTCTGTATGTCGATCGAACACTTGAAAAGCCATTTTTGAATATTTTAAGGAGCTGGCCTCGGCGATGGGAGAAAACATTCAATTGGCTCAAACATTTTCGATTCAAGGCGAAATTCCGTTGCTAACGGATCTGTTCGGATGCTTCACAGTTGATCCAATATTCAAAGAACTCGACGATCCAAATCGAATCGCTGTTGAGAATCTGACGATTGGAATCATTCGAGAGACGGCGACTCAGACCAATCGGATTCCGCCGCCTCGCGCTCGATTAGTATTACTCATTTGTAATATTGTTCGTCTCAAAATCAGCAAGTTTCAGAAGCGACATGCGACCGTGGATGACGATGAAGGATCAACGAACAACTTCCGCCTCCTTCATCCGCCAAACAAATTTTGTCTCACTGAGATTTTCGATGATCTCCAGGTTAGTTTATTATCACCACAACATTTTTTTCTCGTCAATTTTTTGTTTTGATGAAACCGCCCAAAATCGAGTATGGAATAAATTATTTCCGCTCTGCGTTTTTTTTTATTTTCGATTCCGACCCTCGGTTTTGCATTCCTCCTGTTTGTAGCATGTTGCACCAACGAACACCCACTGTTCCAATAATGCGTTGATTTAGAACAATTCGGAAGAGCGAGCGATTGAGAGTTTAGCATATGATGCGTCGACAATCAGCGCTCGAGCACCGATAATTCCGTCGAATTCGGCACCATATTATCAAGGTAATTCTGTTGTTTTTATTGAAATCTTTTGAAAAAAATGTTCGACTTCATCTCGAAAATAGGTGGTTTCTAGCAGCCTCGGGAATGTCGTGCCGAGTTTGCTGCAACTCTTAATAGAAGCTGTGGAAAAATCCATTTAATTCTGTTCTTAAAAATCAAATTATAGGACCTGGTCCGAGCACTTCTACTCAACTTCCCGCGGGACCACTTCTCAACATCAATCCGCCACCGAACTACCCTCCACTCAATGCCGGTTACACTCCGAACATCAATTACACCGAACTTTATCATTCCAACTGCCAGCAGTATTTTCCAGTGCACAATCCTTATGCGAATTTAGGTTATCCACAAAAGAATCAGTCTTAAACGAAATGTTTTGTGATCGAATCCGGTGCAGAAAAAAAAATCAAAAACAAGAAACAAATCGAATTCGCCAGAATCTACGAGTATCTCTCCCAACTTTTCATTTTTTTTTGCATAATTATTTTATGAACCAAATAAATGTTTTTCTTTAAAACAACATCCAAATAAAATATGAACAAAATAATTATATGGATGGATATGTGAAGAGATCCTCAACCGATGGCGGTCTGATTTTGACTTTGAAGATACACAAATTGCTTCAGTGCTAATGGGGGGAATGTTCCTAATTTAGAGCTCAACGGGAATTGAAGGCACGAAAAATCATATCGAAATGCACAATATTGTGAAACTGGATTTGATGGAAACAAATGAACATGCTAAACGAATTGACTAAGCAAAATACATAGATATTATAGATATTGAGCGCAATATCACAGAGGGGAAACAATGGCGGGACCACAAAAAACAAATATGATTGTAGGTTTTTGTTTATACACAATTGATTGACTAGTTTCCGTCGGAATCGAACATCGACCTGAGCATTAGGAAAGTGTGGAGTTGATCTGGGGCGACGGAAGCGCAACTGGGATCGAACGATGTTTTTGGAGCCGTCGCTGGTGTGCTCAATGTACGACGAGCTAACGAAGCGAGCGATGGAAACTGCGTCTGACCGATGGTGCTCCAGAATGTGATGACATCTCTGAGAAACAATTTGGGAATTTGAATTGAGAAGAAAAAAGGACTCACTTGGTTTGTTGGGGTGGATATTGCGAGCGGAGGTAACACTCAAGCTCGTCGCCTACTGGATCGTCTTCTAATGATGAAAGAAACATTCGGCGTTTTCTGATGAATTGATTGATGATTAAAATATTGAGAACAGAAATTGGTTACCTATGAGGTTCTCCGTCGCACGAGCTGCCGCGACTGAGCGGCTCGCTGGGATTTCGGATTCCGCACATTGCCCGAATTTTTTCGCACGCGGTGTTTCTCTCGGATTCCGTCAGAATCATGTTCAGTTTACGACTCAGTCTTGGATTGAGAATGGCAGCGATTCGATGCTCATCGGTGATGATCTGCTCCATTTCGGATTTGAGCAACTCGGTTGCCTTCGTTTTCAGCTCGCGCAGGAGTGGTGATGGCTCGTCGTCGCTCACTTGACACTCGTGCATCAACGCGAACCATTCCGGCAGAACTTTTTGGAAGTTTGGCTGCTCTTGGATCAACGATTCGATGGTTTCGCGGAATGGCATTATGAATGCCTCGAGATCTCGCATATGCGATGGATTGATGATTTTAAAGCTTGTAAGAAGATGGGGGCATTTCGAGGAAATGATCTGCTCGATTTGAGACCATCGATCATTCCATTCGGCCAACAATCGATGAACATCGAACACGTCTTCCGTTTTTTCATAATCGAACGGAAGACGAACGTCGAGATCAACAAGCATCTGAAAATGTAAACGGAATTGAAGTGGCAAATAAATTCCAATGCTACTTTGGTTAGTTGGTCAATCGCCTGCAGCATTTGAGTGACCGGAAGACTCGAAGCACTCAATGCTGTCGCAAGTATCTCCATCAACTTTGACTTGATGTCGATGAATGTCTTGATCGGTGCGAGATCGTGATTCGCATTCGGAGTGGTGACTCGAAGCAAATTCTTGTCGAGCTCGTAGTTGTGCACAACAATATTGATCATGTCTTTGATCGATTCGTTGTCTTTGCACTTGAATACTCCCAAGATGTTGCTGCGCCATTTCCAGTCTGGACTGATGCGACTTCCATGAATCACGCGATACACTTTGTCGCAATATGTTAGAGTTTCAAGCGTGAGTCGAACACCTGAAATATTCGAGATCTGAAGCCTTATAACCAGCGAATCTTCGTACCTTGAGTTGTTCTCGACAGCTCATTCTTCAGATCGTCTGTACAGAATCGCAAATGCGTTTGCATTGCAGATTTCACCGTCGCAATATCCGGAAATGTGTCGATTGATGTTTGATTGTTGCCTCGTTTTGCGAGGGCCATGATTTTTGAGATGAGACCGCGAAATCCTTTGCCATTGAAGACGACTGGATCAATGAGATCCAGTGCGCAACACTTGACAAGTGCTTCGGTGAGTATCTCCTTATCAAATTCAGAATCTCTCGAATGATGCGGCTCATTGTCAACAGAAGTGAGCGAAATCTGCGGACGCGGTTCGGCTCTCGTCGTCGTCGTCGTCGTCGTCGCGGATGCCGTCGATTCAAATGATCCAGGACAGCCCGGATCAACAGTTTCCGTCGATGATCCATGGGTTCCCGAGCGATAACTAGCCCCAATCGGACATCGATGCCTTGTCATATTGCCAGTTCCGCCACCAGTGTCGGTGTACAGCACCTTACAGGCGTAGCAAGCAACGTATGGAAGACGAACTTGGGTCATGGTGTCCAGCACCTGCGAATGTCGTATATTAAAAAAATAGGATATCGAATGAATAGCTAACCTGTCCAAAGAGGTTCCATACTTCGGACCTTCCTCGTTTTCTCACCAACTGGAATCTTCCATTCGAATTTCGAATATCATCTTGAATAATAGATTTCGGTGGCATTTGAGCCATTATTTCTGGCGTTGCTTGCCCGTTATGATGTGTCTAAAAAAAAGAAATAATATACTAAAAAAGAAACAACTAATTATAGGATCTCAAGTATACCTTGAAGTTTGGATGTTTTCTTTTATGTTTTTGAAATGGAAAAATAGCATCGAATAATGCCTCGTTCGACATTTTCATGATGTTAATGTGGGAAATGATGAACAATGTTCAATTAATCAAAAGAAATATCAAAAAAAATCCATCAAATATGAAATAATTGAATTATTTTTTGTTTTGATTCCATTAATTAGGGTGTTTTTCGATTAACAATAACGACATACACCTACCTGATCGAATGAGGCGTTTGTGGGTAATTCGAAAGAGCCGGAGCCGACGGTTTCAAATGAGCCCGAACAATCCATTTGCTCCAATTTTGGCACCGCACTTTGGATTTTGAAATCGTCAAGCAATGGCGATGATAAACCAAGAGCTTGGTGTTGCATGGCGACTGAGAGTTGATTGAGCAGCGATGGTGGAATACTGCCCAGATTGCCAAGGGCGAACACGTCGGATGGTGTTGTTTGGTGCATTCCACCTTTTGGCGATTCGCCTAAAATTTTCTCATTCATTATTACGCATTTTCATTGGCATTCATAATTGTTTGAATGTTATAAAACAATATAATTAAATTAGTGTTTTTCGTTGACAAAAAAACTGAAATGAGAACCATTATTGTATTAAAGAGGAAAAAAGTAAATTGAATTGATACGGCGAAGAAAAAAAAACGTTTTGAACATACACGAATATGAGCGGTTATCGGAGGGACTTTTGCGGAAATCGGGCGACGGAACCGTCAACAGACGACTATCAGTTGGTGGCGGTCGTTCAAGCTGTATCAGTTAATTATCATTGGACATGCGTGGTTCGCGTCAAACCTGAAGCGGTGAGAGCGGTGATTGGACGAGGAGACGCGGAACTTCGACTGGCGAGAATGCCGATCGGCTTGCATCGAACGAGCCTGGACGGAACGACGCTGAAACAAGCATCGTAGAAGAGAGAAAAAGGGACCGATGATTAAGAAATGAGAAAGGAACGTGCTGAGGGGTTAGAATTGCGTGACACACACACACACACACACACACACACAGACTGATTCGGAAGGTCAAGGAGTCGTACCTGGCGGCACTTTTGGAGACGAGATTCCGGCGGCGACGTCGAAACTGGCTGCACGACGGGGTTCTTGTGGAATCAGATGATGATGCGATGGATCATCGTCCTGAAAATCCATATGTTGAAATAAAGTGAATACGTATTACATGGTCCCGCGCATAAACGAGTTCCGGATGAATTTTATGAAATTTCGCTTCAGGGCGCATCTTTTAATAGGCCGAAATGAAGGATTTTTATAAGTTTAGTGTCCGAAAAAAAAACGTCTGTTCAAGTCGTCTATGATCCGCCCCCACGAGAATAATCAAAAATCCAATCAACACCAAAATACTTCAATTTTATGTCATGCGAATTCCTGAGATGTGTGTGTGTGTGTGTTCAACACATCAAACTAATAAATATATGTACATAAATAAAAGCTCAGAGTCAGAAATATCATATCTCACATCATGCATATGTATATAGATAATTTGAAATTTAAATAGTTTGGTTGAAAATGTCGAGTTTGAAATCTCGATGAAAATCTCATTTTTAATGGCATAATTCCAATATCATGTGAATCAAAAATACTTCGAATCATTAAATATGGTCATCCTTAAATGCGAATAGAAAATTAGCAAAGATGCTCAATTTCCGGTATTGTGACGTCAAACATTTATCGAGAATTTTTGTGCGATTCCGGAAGTTATAATGCATATTCGCATCTCAAATCGCATCAAATATTATTCTAAGTTAAATAATTTAATCCTATGGGAAATTGAGCAGTATCGTAGTGGATTTCCTCGTCTAAAAAAAGCTGAAACTTTAATCCGCCTACATGCTTAAAAATGTGGGTTTTTAGACAAATCAGTTATCTAAATGTCTATTATCACATAAACATAATCCTAACAATCAAATTCGCATTAAAATCATGACTATACAAGTTATGGGAATTGTATGGAAGAAGCCGATGAGTAATATTCGACAAATGATTAATTACATTTATTGTTTTCGCCAAATCAAAAAAAAAACAATTAGGAATTGTTACTATTAGTTTTTTATTTGTTAAATCCAACAGATAGTGAATTTGGTGATTCAGCAAAAGAAAAAACAAAAATGAAGAATAGAAAACGTTTCGGTGATCAGTGGGTTGTAGAGCGATACAAGATTGGAACAACGGAGGATGGGTGTGATCCTTTAGATAGAAGATCAATTTTGATAAGGATGCCCAATGGATTTTTTGATTGCCAAATTAAACATTAGTCTAGATAGCAATGAACATTTTTGGGATTTTTGAGATTCGATTTTTCAGAGGTCCACAACTAGAAATTCTAAAATCGAATTATGTTTCCAATTTTTGGATTATCTAATCGAATAACGTCTCTTCTGCAAAATGAAATCTTTTTTTTTGTAATTATCGAAAATGGGTCCAACCAGTTGGAAACTAAGACGAAACCTTATTTGGAAGCATTAGTAGAATTGGATTTTCATTTTTTTTTCGAATCCAAAAGGATCAGTCAGGATCAGAATAACAATTTAACGAGCACCAATTTTCTTATTTGAGAAAAAATATTTTTAATTTTGAAAATGATTTTTGTGTGATACGGTAGGCGCCGAATCCGACGACAAATTGCGGAATTATTTGGGCAAAAATTATTTTCATAAATGTTTTGCAGAATAAATTGTTTTGCGAGGGACTGAACGAGTATGTCGGACACACCTCAGCAAATGTTCGGCTCATAACTTCATTCATTTTTTTTCCGACATTTTTTGGTGTTTCGGCTCATGGTGTCCCACTCGAAAACCCGATTTTGTGTCAAAAAAAAAAACTCATAAATTATGCGTCCAAGTGGTAGAAATCCGAGGCGAAACACAAGTGAACTATGATGTTTAAGGGCGACGAACGACAAGAAAAAAAAGACGGGTTGCGGGTCGAAATCACCCACCTGAACTGCCGGCGACTTTTTCAACGAGCGATTCCGCTGCCGATTGCTGGCGGTGCCGCTCGCGTTCGTTGCGGCCGCGCTCGAACTGCCGACGCGAGCCGCCTCCTCGAACGACGCGGGTTTGCTGCAACAACACAATTGATTGTTTCAGACCGATGGCTCGTGATCTGTTACCCCTTCCTCATTTGTGACTACTAAAACAAGGTGTGTACATTAAATGATGGGTTTGCGACTAGAAAACGCGAAACATGCACCGAGTTGGGGTCGCGTGTCATAAGTGCGAATGGCGAAAGAACCACCGAAAAAGTTGATTGGCTCTCGGATGGCTCTAGAAAATCATTCTTTTCATGTTTGTTTTGTTTGTCTACTGCCGAGACAGCAGAAGAAGCACGAAGGCTGATGGGGTGGGCGAGTGCGCGAATAAATGAATGTATGTATGTGATTCGAAATAGAAAAGCGACGACCAAAAAAAAACGAGTATCAGATGACACATATGAATGGAAAAAGTTTCGATGGTCCATCAAAAATTCCACGCGACTCGAGTCGTCGTCGTAGTGACGAGAGCGAAAAAACCAAAAAAAAGAAGAAGAAATGAACGAGAAAGATTCAGTGTTTTACTCACGTAAAACACTGAATCTTTCTCGTTCTAATGAATATTCTATCAACTTGTCAAGAAGACATTAGGATTATTGCGAGAGCACAACTTGTAATAAGTAATTCGCAGACATCATCGTTTTTTTTTTCCCTCAAATGACAATAAATATATCCCGAAATATTCTTTCAAATCAAGAAATCTGCTTAGTTGTATTACCGGATTAATCTAAAAAGTTTTTTTTAGCGAGTGAAGGTATTGGAAATTACGCAATTTTGTTTAGCGTTAAATTGTCCGTGTGGAGTACACAGACCGACACTTTTCGTTTCCTTGACTTTTTTCCCAATTTGACTCAATAGAGCGACTTTGACAATACGAAAGCCAATTTTAAATTGAAAAAAAATAATAATGAGTATTCCAATTTTTGCGTTTAAAAAGTTCAGTTACACATGACTTCCCCCTGAAATCGGCTTAATTATAAAACGGAATGGGCAATTAAAATGAGCAAACAAAACCATGAAAAGTTTAAAGAAGAATTGAGAAAAAAAAATTTTGGACGAAAAATTATGAAAAACGCGGAAGAAAATGAAGGATGTGATATGAGTTATAATCGGTGTTTGATATGCGAAATTGACTGGTTCGACCTGAACGACAACTGCTTTCGAAATTATTCTCCACTAACTCATTTCGCTGCTCATCGGCCAACTCTTCGACTCATCATTGTGATGCGAAACATATATAAATGTGCGAGCTACAGTATACCACACATTACTAATTATTAATTAATGCGCGCCGCTCGTGAATATTGTTCAATGAAAATATAAAACCGAGAATATCCAAAAAGCAGTGAACTTGTGGAAAACATGATGATGTTATATCGTTTATTTTAATGAAAAATTTATTCAAAAACAATGCACAAGGAGGAATATTTAATTAAAGTAATTGAGAGAAAATGAGTAGATAGGCATTTATTGGCAAGAGGTTTCGAATGGAAAATCACCAAACCTCAACGCAGATTAAATACTTCAAACAAATGAATGAAGCTTAAAATTAAGCTGTGACATGATCGCGTAATTTGCGGCCAAGTGTGAATAGACATTATTTGAATGTGAGGGGGGGGGGGCGATTTGTTTGAACCTTCTCAATCCGATCAACAGATCTTCTTCGAGCGAATTTTTACAAGAAACCATTTTTTTTTCAATTTTTGAATTATTTCCAAATCCCCCACGGCACCTCCAAACTACGATAGACCCACTCACGACCATCAAACAAATTTCGAAAACGAGAATGAAAAGATTGAGATAAGATTTGTGTATCGCTCGATTTTTGGTGGCGATTTCAAACCAAAACACAAATTCAATTGAGAATTGCTTGAATTTGATGGTAACAACGAGGAATCGCGAAAATCCCAACGGTTGGGGGATGTTGAAATCTTACGGTAGAAGAAGAATTCAATTTTGAGAGGAATAATGCTTGTGCTCTCTTGGTCACATGCAAACAATTATGATGGTCCTTCCTTTTACGAGCTCTTGCTTCCAATTTTCTTTTGATATTTTATTTGTTGAAATAAGTTGAAACTTCAACTGGAATGGCCAACTTCGAAAAATGGAGTTGTTTTTGTGTGTGTGTGTTGGAAACCCGATAATGAAATGCAACGATGATGAGCGAATGAGAAACGAATCGACTTGAATCGAGAGCACGCAAAAATGTTCATTAATTCTACACGCCAGCTCCGCCTCCATTAGCAATTCACACGATGAGCCATGTCGAGGGAAACGCAAAAAAAAAACGGTTTCACACATTTTATTTTCGTTTGTCTTCGCCTCATTCATCAGCTCATTCCTCCAGTGTTGTCATTTTGTTTTCTTGTTGTTGTTGTTGTTGTTGTTGTGATGAGCTATGAAACGAAGAAATGCTCGCACAATTAATTGGCGGTAATGGAAAATGGTGGGAGTTGAATAATCATCTATCAATCTAGATTAACGTTGTTTGATGCGACTGAAATTCGACGACAATTCAATAAAAAAAAATGTTGTGGGGGGATTAAAATTGAAATAAAAGAAAACTGGAGGGAAAAAACGGGGCGAAATGAGTATGTATTATCGAAACCCGATCAGAAGCTCAAATTTCGCTCTCACATGTGTTGTCCCTCAATTTCGACTCATGACTCGGACGACGAGACGAATGAAAAAAAAAACGCGACGAGGAGCTGATTTTTTGACATATCCGTCCCTCTCATATCCGCCCAACTTTTGAGGTCCGTTGACTCAAAAAATTGAAGCGAATTGAGGGACTCGAAAAGAAAAAGAACCGCCAACGACATGGATTCTTATCAATCGAAATCTGATCAAGTCGACAACGTTTTGCATCATATCGCGCCAACATAGACCCATCAATTCCCTCCAAAAAAAAATGAGTAAAACTCTACTTTTTCGGAATCAAATTTGCAACAAATTGTTGAATTCGAGAGTTTTTTTGGAAAGAATTTGCGTCCCTTTTTTTTTGGTGAAATTCGTTTCAATTCTGCAGCTGGAAAAATCAAAATGCCGCATTTCCGTCGAAAATTAAATGCATAATTTTGAATTTTCAAAAGTCTCTTACTCATTCGTTTTTCTTTCGAAAATCCCTAGTCGTCTTCTAGGATTTCGTAAAACAATCAATCGTTCACATTTAATCCCCTATAATTTATTTGGAAATGTCACCGGCTCAAATTAAAGGTTGTCAAAATCGTTGGAATGAATCAGATCCACATTTTCGGATTAGTCGGAATAAACTACACACACAGATTGACCGATACCGTCTAATTCGAAGATTCTTTGGAATATGATTAATATACATTTTCTCTAGCATTTCGTTTAAACATTCTTCCGATAAACCGGATATTTCGCATTTCCGTTGGATTTGATTCGCAAACTTTGAATTCTTGTTTCGTTTAGTACACTTTTTACATTTCATAGGATTCAATGATAATAGATTAGTCGTTTTGTGTCTGAAATGAAAATGCGAATATAAATATTAAAAAAAAAATGAATAATTGGAATAAGTCAAAGGAGCTTTTCCTACATTCATATATCAAATTTTTTCAATCGGAGTAATTCCATTTAAAAGGTTCAAGAATCGAACGTTCGCGAGCGTTTTTTTTTGTCGGAATTTGATTATTAGGACCAAAAAAAGCAATAATCGGATTATCATTAATAGACTGAAATTTTGAAACATTTTGGTGCGAGATTGAGCACAGGTCAAGTGAAATGAAGCTTAAAAGGAGTGGGGTGAAACCGCGAAAAAGAGGGTCGAGTGATCTGTTCACTCAAAAATGCACGGGAGCGTGACGCAGTTGGACAGCAGAAAATTGAACGGGACAGTGAATGAATGAGGTAAGGATTAAAGGTTTTCGCGAAATTCTTACCTTCGGATCGGCGGAATTGAGAGCAGAGATGTCGTGATGACTTTGGTTTTCGGAGGCGGCAAATCATCAGCCATTCTTCAATTCCTTCTTGATTTACTTGACTGCCGCTTCTGCTTCCAAGCCTCCAGCTTCCACAACTCGTCCAGCTCCCTTGTTTTTGTTTCCAGCTCAACTCGGGTTACGGCTCAAAACGCGTCGGCGATAGACGAATGCAACGACGAGGAATGCGAGCGAGACGAAATCGAGAAAGACATGCAGAGCAGGCACTATTCTTCTCCTTTTCTTCTACTGCTTCGTCGTTTTGTTGTTGTTGCTGTTGTTGCTTTTGCTGCTTCTGCTTCTGCTGCTGCTGCTGGTGGTGGTGGTGGTGTTCGGAGCCGGCCCACTCTCACTTCGAAATCACTTCTTCAATGCTGATGTGTTGATAGCGGTGAAATAAAACAAAAAAAAACGTTGAAAATGAATTGAATTGGTCGAAGACAAAATCGACAAAACGAGACGCAGACGCCAACAAATGACTGATTCACTGTCGAATTGATATGAACTTGCCCGAATTGTGTTGCCAAATTGAAATTCAACATCAGATCACTTCCAGATGATCTTCGCTTCCGATTATCCCATGGTCAACGATTGATTATTCGTGACACTTTTGAAAATCATGTGTCTCTCCGATTTAAGCTTCCGTTTCCCATAGGCGAATTTTCTCGAAAAGAAGCCAAAAAGGAAAAATGATATTGCGACAAAAACAACACAAGTGTTTTCGGATTCTTATCATGAAAAATATCGAAATGAAGGCGATTAGGATTACAAATCCAAATATCAAATTGCACTCCCGTTTTTGAAAAAAAAAGTGATTTTCTCCGAAGAATGTTACTGATCGATTCTTTTGAATAAAGAACATTTATACTTTGATTTTCTGTTTTATAAAAATAATAAACCAAATCTTCATTGGTTAAACTAAATAATTTGTTTCGGTGACTAGCGAATTCTATAATTGATTTCAAATTTAACTGATGAAACATATTGCTAAAAATAAGAGTGTTCCTATTGTCGAAGGCGTGCGATCGGATGTTCAATTGTAGAGTCGGGTTTCGCGCCATGCGTGCTGATTTATGAGTGACACGCTTGTAAGCCGGCTGGTCGGTCGACCGTGTTTTTGAAAATTAAAATTTTGTTTTTAAATATTC